TAGCCCCAGACCTCGGGAACTTGAGAGCATCTCCTGGCCCTCGCTGGGCACGCTGTGGGCGCTCAGCAAATGCTGCTGGGAGGAGGAGCGTGAGTGGGCTTGGCGATGGCCAGGAGGTGGGGGAAATGCCAGGCACTGTGAGCTGAGACAGGAGGGCAGGGCTGGGTCAGTGCCTGAGACCAACAGCCAGGTGACTCACGTGAGCTCCCCGCTTGGCTCCTGAACTGCACTGGCGTGTGGCATCCCCTGGAGGACAGTGTTTGGGATGCAGCTTCTGTTGTACAATGTTGGGGCAGGATTCAGTCTGTTAGAGCAGTCTCTGTCCCCTTCGTCTGTGACCCCTATGGCTGACCTTATGCACAGGGGCCTGGCTCCTGTGGTTACCCCAGCAGCACATTGGGGCCAGCAGCAGGTCCCACAGCAAGCATGTCTCTGACTCAGCATGTGCCTAATGCCAGCAGAAATGGGAGGCTCGGCTTGGGGTGGGTGAACATTGTGGCTGGCAACATGCCCTGTGTGTAGGGCCCTGTGCTCTCTAGCTGGTGGGGCTCCGGGTGACGGTCATGCTGGCCACTGTTTGCTGGGCTCCTGTGGGGGTGCTGGCCGCTGGGCTGGGAAGGATGACATCATCTCCCGTAGTCATCTTCCACCCGCATGAAGTGGATTGAGGGACTCTCCTGAGGTTGCACGGCTGCACCTCATCTGTGCCCAGAGGTGCCCATCTGGGGCTACCTGGTTCAGCATCTCTTTCTGGGCCCTGTGTGTGCCTCCTGAACCCCGTGTAGATCAATTTTAGAAGTCTCTTTGCCAAGAGTTGTTCATTTATGACGAGGAAAGAATGAACTGTACCCAGTGTGAGGTGGGATTCCCGAGGTTATGTTGAGGAGTAGCTGACCCCTGGCGCCTGGTGGGGTGGTGTGACGTAGGAGCCTGGGGTCTCAGAGGAAAAACCCAGACACGGTTGTGGCTCGGAGCTCACAGGACTCATCCTCAAAGGGGCAGGAGAAGACCAAGGAGAACAGGCAGGCTGGCCAGGGATCATCCGTGGCCTCTTGGTATCCATACCCCCAACCACTGTCCAGCACCTGCCCATGCCAGGCGCTGGGTACTGGCTGGCTGGAGCCCCTTGGGAGATTTCAGGGAATGAAGAAGAGTTCATGTGGACCCTCCTGTGCCAAGCATGGGTCCGGGCACCCAGCCAACTCCCCAGAAATGTTTAAATGGATAGCATATGAATAGATGAATGAATCTGTTTCCTGACCCGGGTGGGGGGTTAGGATACAGTCATTCATTCACAGATGAAAAGAAAAACAGTTTCAGGACTGGAGTTGTCACAGGTTCCATAGGAATGTCGCAGTTGTTCTCCTGTTGGGAAAGGCCTAGAAGCCATCTTCCCTGTCATGTGTGTCTGGCACATGTACAGTTTGTATGTCCTCCACTGTGAACCCATAGACCCTATGTGTGCTATTGAAATAGAGATACCTGCTGTCTCTGCCTCATCTACATAAATGCACATCCTCTACATGCACACACACATATGCTGCGTGAATGATATTTGCTAGTGGATATGGGTGTGCTATAGGTATATTCTATATGCTTTTTGTGTACTGGTCTAATATATACAATATGGTATGCATCTTGTGCCAACATCGTCCATGCACATGCACAGCACATACACATTGCTCATGAAGTTCCAAGTGTACACCAGGTGTGCTCTGTATAGAGTGTCCACAGATGCCATGTATATGTGTTCCACACAGATATTTGCAAATGTCTGATATGTAGACTTGATATTTGCATATAGGCCAGCCTCCTGGGTAGAGAGCAGGGTGGAGGTGGGGCCTTCTAGATGGGAAGACTGAGGATACCCGGTGCATCCTCCTCTTTCCTGGAAGGCATTGAGAGTTATGAGACTTGTCTCTCACTTTACAGGGAATAGTCCTGTTCCCCAGACCACTGGGCCTCTGGGAAGTTTATTAACATGAAGGCCCCTGAACTTAGGCAGCATTCAGCCTCCACACTCTTTTGTGCTCGTGTGTTATGAGGAATGTCATCAATGTGATAGACCAGTGAGTTGTGCCATGGAGTGTCAATATGATCACGCTCTCCCATTCTGTAGTACGACAGACAGCAGGAGAATTGACGTAATTCTGAGACAGGACGTACAGGTGTACTGCTGTCCAGGCCATGTGAAGGCAAACTTCTCTGATCTTCTGTACTGGCAGGAATGAGGGTGGGTGGGTGGAAGGTGGGGGGACACCTGGTGTGCAGTTTTTGACCCAGAAAATGCTGTGTTGATTTCCTCCAGTAAATACATCACATCCAGAACTGTTAACATTACCACTTATTAAGTTTCCAACAATCTACTGTTATTCACCGACATCCATCTGGCTTGTGTTTCAGCTCCACAGGTGAGCTATATGGAGATGTAGTGAGACACCCACCCCTGCATCTTTTATATTTACCTACTTGTTTACCAAGATGCGCTCTTTTCTTTCCTGAAGACCTAAGTTTCCATCTGGTATTCTTCTACCCAGACAGAAGAACTTCCTTTAGTCATCATGCTGTGCAGATCTGCTGGTGATGAAGTCCCCTAGTTTTCTTTAATCTGAAAATGCCTTTATTTTGCCTTCATTCTTGAAGGATGTTTTATCTGGATATGGAATTATGGGGTTAACCCAGAATTTTCTTTCAACTCTTGGAAGATGTGATCCACTGTTACTGGTCTCCATTGTGTACCATTAGAAGTAAGCAGTATTGGGCCGGCCCGGTGGCCCACTGGAGAGTGCGCCGCTTGGGAGAGTGGTGGCCCTCCCGCCGAGGGTTCGGATCCCATGTGGAGACCTGTTCCCGCTCACTGGCTGAGCGTGGTGCGGGCGCGACACCGAGGGTTGCGATCCTGTTACCGGTCAGTAAAAAAAGACAAAAAGGAAAAAAAAAAAAAAGAAGTAAGAAGTATTCAAATCGCTGTTGTCCTGTGTGTGATGCGTCGTTTATCTCCGGCTGCGTTGGCTTTCAGCAGCTTGACTCTGATGTGTGCTGTTCTTTGTATTCATCCTGCTTGGGGTTCACTGGGCTTCTTGACTCTATAAAGGTGTCTTTTACCCAATCTAGTTAATTTTGGCCAGTATTTCTTCTATTTTCTTTCCTGTCTTATTTTATCTCTCCTTTCCTTCTGGGACAACTTTTGATACTGTTCTAGAGGTCCCCATGGCTTTATTTATTTTTTTCATTCTTTATTCCTTTGTGTTCTTCAAATTGGATCATTTCTATTGCTGTATCTATTGCTTTTTCCTTCAGCTTTTTCATTTCCACACCCCATCATTCCTGGCCTGACTCCAAGTTTGTCATGTCATTTTTCTTCTTTTGTAAGGGCTATAGGGTTTCTGAGGGGTCAGAGCTCAGTGCTAGACAGGAAAATGGGACTGAAGGTTAGAGAGGATGAGGAGAAGGTCCCCTGGAGGCAAACATGTGATGCCATCTCTCCAGTGAGAGTGTAGCCCATGGGGCAGGTAGGTCTTGGCACATGTTCTTGCCAAGGGAAAGACAGACACAGGCAGACTGCTCTTTAATGGACGAAGCCCTGGTAAAGAAGAGTGGGATAGAGCAGTCAGAATAGGCTTCCTTCAGGAGATAGTGGTAGGGGTGGAGGTCTTAGGGTCTGGCAGGTCCCTATTGTGTACCAGGCTCTGGGCCAGGTGCTCTCTGATCTCAGCAGATCCATACAACAACCCTAGCTGGGAACTGCTATTATCCCATATGGCAGATGAAGAAACCTGGGTTGGAAGAGGTTGTCTGGGGCCCAAGATAACGCAGTTGGTTAAGTGACCATAAACGTGTGGCTCGGGGTCACATCAGGGAAGCTTCCTTGATGGGGCAGGACTTGAGGTGTTGGAGAACCACGTTCATCCTGCAAATTCTCATCCCAAACATTGTCCACAATCCAGGTTATTAGTCCCAGAACTTGAACTAGAACCTGCTAAGTCCTGTGTTCCTTCTGCCATGCGATGCAGACCTGATCCTGGCTCTGACATTATCACTGACTGAGTGGGGCGACCCTGGCAAGTAACTTCACCTTTCCAGCTCCATTGTCCTCATTTTGAATGTGAGTAAATATAGGCTCAACTTTGCAGAGTTGCTGTAGGGGATCAATGGGGTGCTACGAAGTTGCATCAAGAGTTTCAAAACTACTTACACACATAGGTCTTCCAGGGATGTTTGTTTCCTCTTTTCTCTCAAGGCTGTATTCACACAGTGGTGCAAATTTATTCATTCCTTTATCACTTTCTAGGTCTTACTCTAGGTAAGGGGATCCGGCAGCAAACATAACAGATACAAATTCTTGCCCTCACCGCATTTACGTCTACTGTTCCCTCTCTTGATTTAAAGTCTCAGTGTTTAAGTCTCATTCCTGGCAGTTGAAAACTCTGGGCTCAAATCCCAACTCTGAAGGAGTCAAGTCACCCTGCTATTAAGTAACTCACTCTGCTTTCCGGTCAGTGGTGTTGGAATCGTTGTACCTGTCTGACAGCGTCCTTATGAGGTTAGACTGAGGCCACGCATCTGAAAGGACTCAGCACAGTGCCTGGCACACATCACATACCGTTCTTTGGATATCCACTCTTAATGTCCATCCACGGTGGGCATAGACATTTTCTCTCTTGGGCTTGGTATTCCTGCAGTTTTCTTAGTAGTCCATGTGTTCTTCTCTGGAAAACTTTGTGTTGCTCTAAGCAGAACCCTGGAATGCCTCCCAGATCGCTCCCACTGCAAATTACAAGTGATGTTTCTTCACGGGTTCACCCTCCCAGGTTATGGCTCACCCCCAAACCCCTCCACCCCAACCTCCCTGTGACCTTTTTTAATTTTTACTGTCCCTTGTTCTTTTCTCCCCGTCCCTCCAGAATATGGGCATGCCCCAAGCCCCCAACCAGATCCACCCCCCACCTCAAACCTCTCCGGACGTCTCTTCACTCATTCTCCCTGTTCTTCTCGTCCCCACCCCTCAGGTTATGGACACGCTGCACCTGGCACTGACGCGGGCAAGGCCTTCTGCATGTTCTACGCTGTGCTGGGCATCCCCCTGACGCTGGTCATGTTCCAAAGCCTGGGAGAGAGGATGAACACCTTCGTGCGTTACCTGCTGAAGCGCATCAAGAAGTGCTGTGGCATGCGCAACACCGACGTGTCCATGGAGAACATGGTGACTGTGGGCTTCTTCTCCTGCATGGGGACACTGTGCATCGGGGCAGCCGCCTTCTCCCACTGCGAGGACTGGAGCTTCTTCCACGCTTATTACTACTGCTTCATCACGTTGACTACCATTGGGTTCGGGGACTATGTGGCGCTGCAGAGCAAGGGCGCCCTGCAGAAGAAGCCGTTGTACGTGGCCTTTAGCTTTATGTACATCCTGGTGGGGCTGACAGTCATCGGGGCCTTCCTCAACCTGGTCGTGCTCAGGTTCCTGACCATGAACAGTGAGGACGAGCGGCGGGATGCTGAGGAGAGGGTGTCCCTGTCTGGAACCCGCAACAGCATGGTCATCCACATCCCCGAGGAGGGGCGGCAGGACCAGCACAGGGGCAAGGGCGAAGCTGCCGACCTGCAGTCCGTGTGCTCCTGCACCTGCTACCGCTCGCAGGATCGTGGTGGCCGCTCCGTGGTGGTGCAGCAGAACTCCATCAGTGCCAAGCTCACCCCCCAGTATTTCCCCTCCATCTCTTACAGGATCGAGGAGATTTCACCAAGCACACTGAAAAACAGCCTCTTCCCGTCCCCTCTCAGCTCCATTTCTCCCGGGTTACACAGCTTTACCGACCACCACCGGCTGATGAGACGTCGGAAGTCCGTTTAGGTGTGGAGAAGGAAATAGATCAGAAAAGTCATCTGTCATGGTCCACGTCAAGTTCCATCGACCCAACTCGTCTTTTCTTCCTTATTAATTTAACATTCTTCTTTATTATTATTACTGTCACCATCACTACTTTCTCTCTTTCGTCCTTGGTTTCATTTCTTCCCCCACCTTTTCAGCAAGACGGAGCAGGCCAAAGGGAAAGCAAAGGCCCATCCTCCTCTGAAACTCACATCTGAGCATGAAGCATGGATCTCTTCCTCCCTTCCCAGCAAAGTATGCCTTACATTGCTCCACCAACTTGCCCCATCTCTGGGGTGGCTTTCCCAGGACAGTTGTGAGACCAAGACCACGGAGACAGAGCTGAGAGGATACCCAACCCGAAGTTGCACGCCAAGCCGAGAGCCTTCGACCGCCCACCCACAGCGGTGTCTCTGACCCAACTCCTTTCTTTTTTCCTCCCCAAGGACTGGGTGGCTGTGTGTGGTGTGTGCTTGTGTGTGTGTTTGCTCACGTGTGCACGTTTGTGTGTGTGGGGTATGAGTGTGCTTCTCTGTGTGTGTATTATGGGACAAAATGGAAAGTAGCAGGTATTTATTTTTCTTTCCCATCACAATTTTGTTAATAGCCTGCTTTTGACTGCTCCCAAACAAAACAGAAAAACAAAACCCATGAGGTTTCTGACTTACCATCTTGCCAAATCAAGCATGTTACATGAGCAGTCTTTATCCCAGATGCGTCATGACCATATTCTTTAAATGCTAGGTTCTAAATTATCTTAACAATTTTTTAGGGGGTGGGTGGGCAAGAAGACATGGATCATCTGAGCTTGCCAGTTCAAAAAACTTTTAAAAGCATGCACTTTGTTAAACTGGTATGCATTATCAACATAAGAAAACAAAACTTGCAATGGAATAATCAGAAAGCCAATAATAATATTAATTTATTAAAGACATTTTTAATTTTATCATCTCCCATTCCAACAATTTCCAATGCAACTGGAATTGTCAGGGGAAACTGGAAAATTGTTGGAACCACAGAGTATCTAATTATTTCCTTTTATTGGTGATGGTCATGATTTTGTGCAGCATCTATCTGCATGAGTAAGGGTTACAGTTTTGGAATGCTTGGATAAAATGGGCGTTAGGACGTGGTTATGGTTTCTTTTCCTAATAAAAGGTGACAGGGCACTGAAAAAAATATATTTCAAGAAAGATTATCCCTAATTCATTTGATTTGTAAATAGGGGAAGATCATGTTGGTCTCAGGAAGAGTTTAGAGGCAAGGATCTGTGTCTTGGCCTACTGGGAACTTGCCAATCTCAGGGGATGCTTTTGTTTGGGTAGTGGAGAAATTCCTCTCCACTCTCATTAGGGGATGACCCCGAAGAGAAGGCCTGCCTAATCTCTTAGGGGACAGTTTAGGCTGTAGAATATGGCACATTGGAGGCCCTTACTGGCAGGAGTGAAGTACAGTGACCTCCAGATTTACTGAGGGGACTCTGGTTCCCTCATCACCATCCCTGCCATTTCCAAAAATCGCCCATTCACCCTTCCTCCCACTCCTTTTTTGTAAACTGGAAGTTCATGGCTCTTGGACGGCAGTGGGCTTTGGCTGTCCCACTCAGAAGGAGCATGTTTGCTGGCCCATCTCTGGCTCTAGTGAACTCTCCCAGGAAGGAGGCTTTGCTCCCTAGAAAGAGCAGACCTGCAGGACTGCTTAAAGGAGATGGCGTCCTAGTGCTACCAGTCCTGAGCGTCTGGGCCATCGCGATGACACGCAGGAGCAATCGAGACTCCTCTGAAAAGGCTGTGCATGTACTTTAATGCCACATTCATGTTCAAGTGTCCCTTTCGCCTAGGACACAGGGCCTTTGGAAGGAGTCTGTGAGCCTCAGGTTCTCTAGGCCAAAGTAGATGGTTATCAACCTTAAAGATCTTTATCAATTCACTCATTTCTGAGATTTTATTTTATGGAATGCCTTATTTAGGGCTCTAGATTCTGTCCAGAGGATAGAAGCAGTCACTCTTAATTTTTTCTTTTTTCCTCTTGGAAGAGATTGTTGACTGTAGGGGTCAGAGGTATAAAAATACTAATGCCTCTTTGCAGATTTCTTATGCTTTGGGGGAGGCTGCCTGTAATAAATGTGAGGGTTCTCATGAAAGCCTTTGAAGATTTTCCCTCAGATGGGAGTATGTGTGGTAATCTTCAGTCTATAAGTCACACTGAGGCACTGAGGGCTTGAGTGATCATCTCAATGTCACAGAGCTGGTCCTTGACAGAACTGAGATGTCATCTTAGTCTGATCCCAGAAAGGCCCAAGAAGCCAGCTCCACCACACTACAGTGTCCTAACTCAGCCCTCAGAAGAGGGGACCTGCCTCTGTTTCTCCACAGGGGCCTGCGCCAGGCCCTTGGAGTCCAAGGGACATCAGCTCTACCCTGCATTCAGAGCTGGCTTCCCCATGAAAATATCCATGTGAAGCGGTCATGTGGTGGCCACACTTCTGCTTGAATGCTTCAGGTGACAGGGAGCTCCTCTCTGCCCAAGGACTCTACTTTTTGCAGAATTAAGGATCATAGAATGAAGTCTTTTTCTTCTCATGCGATGATCACTGACAACGATGTAGGACAACTTGCCGTTTGTCTCGGTTCTGTTCCCTCTTCTGTCTCTTGCTCTTTGCTCCCAGTCCAGCCCTCTGGAGGATGAATCTCTCAGTCTTCTCTTCCAAAGTTAGACATGCTTGTTTATGCTCAGAGAGTTTAGGGGGAGGAGGTGAACCTCGGTTTGCTTCCCCTGTGATATTCATCTTTTTCTCAGATAGTGCATCTGTTCTCTACCATGGTTTCTGGCCAAGGATTTTCTAGGCACATCCAATGAAGTGCTCTTGGGGTGGCGGGCAGGGGGGCATGCTAAGGGTCTCCAAGGTTCTTCTCTGTTTAGAGCCCCACCACTCAATCACCATTTTGAATTCTTAAAGCCAGGAGGAAGTTTCGTCCAAATCATCCCACTGAACCCCCTGATTTTCAGAGAGGGAAATTGAGTTCCAGAGAGGGTGAGCACTTGTCTAAAGTCACACAGCCAGAATCCGGGTCTTTCTACTTGTTTCTCTTTCTACTGTTTCCTGGCTCCTTGTGTCGTGGCTGCTCTTTGCAGCCTTCCAAAGATCCCTTGGATGGGCTTTTAGGGTCTCAGGCCCAGCTCTCTTTTCCTGCCTCTTGCGCCTAATGATTTCTTTTGTCAGTCAGGTGATCCTCACACCCTTCCAGCTAGCTATGTGCATTCAGAGAGGAGGACGAAATCACACCAGGTTGTTTGGAAACGAGATCTGACTTCTGTTAGAAAGACTTAGGGAGAGCCGCATTCTACCAGAATCAGGGAGGTTGGCTCACCATCCCGTCCCTAGAAACTCACAGGCCATGTAGATATGTAAAGAGATTCCCGACTCTCACTTGAACTCTTTTCAACTAAGAGATCTCAATCCATCCACTCCATCTAAGACAGGAGGAAGGGGGCAGTGGCATGGGTGATCCCAAAGAGCCCTGCACGGATGCTTTGTAGAGACCATCCTGTTTTAGTCCTCATCACACCCTTCCTGGGTGCAAGCTGGTCTCGGCCATCTGCTTGTTAGACTGTTTCTGACATGGAAGTAAACGAACCTCCCTGGGTTTTGAGAGACCTAGTTAGCTCCAGAGCTGGGATCAGATCTGTTCTTTCTGTGCACACTACTGTCTTGAAACCAAGACAGCAGGCTCTCAAGCGCAGGGAGCTGCCTGGTGCTCCAAATTTAAATGCTCTCTCTGCAGTCTCTGTGTTCCCACTGTGCATCACTGATTGGGGCGGTGGGGGTTAGGGTGGGGGAGGGAGGTGTGTATGCCTGCATTTGGGCATGATAACAGCAAATCATTTGCAGCCCAGGAATCCCCACTGGGTCCCTAATCCTTTCAGGAGAGGAAGCAAATGGATGCAGATGGCTCCTTGGGAGGAGCTCATTAAAGCCCCACCCACAAAAAAGGAGGAGATTGATTAATGTTGGCTCACCTGTTCATTCTCTGTGCACAGCGCCTTGATTGAAGAACATCTGGACAGTGATTAAGAAACCCACAGATAAGCCTAGGCAGGTCATTTTTCTCTGCCTTATCCAGATCTGAAAGCCCCACAGGTCCTGATTCCCAGCAACAATCATTTGCAGCTGGAAGCTGGAGAGAACAATTATTTAGAGGCCTCCACTGTCTATGCGCTTTAGGTGGGAGAAGAGGGGGAAGAGGAGAAAATGACCAAAGAATGAAAATCACCCATCACTTAGGTTTATGGTCCAGTTTCTTTTTGTAGTGTTCTTTTAAATAATAGGACCCAATGAAGATACTCGTTAAGGCACCTGCAGAGGCGCAAGGTCTGCAGCACGCACTGCAGCACATCCGTTCTGTCAGTGTGACGCACACCGCAATTTGTGAATTGTGGCTTTGCTATGAAAGTAGAGATTTGGGGCCTGTCCCATGCAGGCCAGCTGCCCGGGAGTCTCAAGTGTGCTTCCTCTAGAGTCACGGTCTGTGTGAAACCCCAGAAGCATCCATCCTAACTGAGGAAAAGGTGGCAGGGCAGGGACCCTCGATGTGTAAGTCATTTCACTCCCCGGGTCTCTGTAGCTTCCTCATCAACGGAATGGGACAGTTCGGGTGGGATTTATGGGCACTTAGCGCAGAATGAATTTGACTCACAAAGACATTTGGCCTGGATGTTCTGATCACTGGGCACATTTGAAGCAGTTGAGCCACCAAAAAGAAAGCCAAAAAGCATTTAGTTTGGAAAGGGACCGGGAGCTGGGAAGATGGAGAGGGACAGGCAATGGCAGGGAGCAATGGTCATCACACCACGGCCCGGTGCGTCCTGGGTGCCCCAAAGCCCTGGGCATAAATCCATTTTATGTGGTTCTTTCTTGACCACACCTTGACAGAGGCTGCTGCTTCAGGAAAATAAAAAAACTTACAACCATCTTTCTATTTTGAAAATTCTAGAGTTACAGAAAAGTTGAAAGAGTTGTACGTGAGCTCTCCAGTACCTCTTACCCAGACCCCCCCGGCCTCAGTACCTTCCCGTTTTCCCTTAATCTTCCCCCCACCTCCCCTCACACTCACACTCAGAGACATTTGGAGGATAAAGTGTTGTGATGTTTGCAACTTTCAGGGGGTTCAGCCAAAGAAACAGTTGTGTATCTCCCGTGAGCAAGGGCACCCTCCTACCTAATAGTGCCCTTGTCACACCTAAGAAATTTAGCACCCATACAATAATACATACAATGATATAACCTAATATGATTCATAAGCTAAATCCCCCAACCATCCCCAAAAACCTCCTCCAGAGCTTTTCTGTGGCTCTAAGACACAGTCAGGATCACAGCCCACGCACGCCTGTCTCGTTGTCCTAGACACCCCCATCTAGGACCCCCTCGCTGTCTTGCCTTTCATGGTGTCAGCATTTTGGAGAGCCCAGGCCATTCGTCTCACAGAATGCCCCATGATCTGCTCTGTCTTCGTGTTTCCTCAGATGAGGGAATTTTTGGCAAGAAAGCAACCTAGTCAGTGTTGTGTAGCTGTGATTTATGCACTTGGTGTTTGGCTCCCTGGGGACGTCTGTGGTTACTGCTTTCATTGTGGATAAATAAGTCATATTAAATGTTGTTTTCCTCTGTTAGGGGAACTAACTGCAGATTCAAGAGAGGCGTCCGTGGATGCTGGGTCACTGCCAAAGCCGAGCAAGGCTGCGGGATTTCTGACCTCTCACGTGGACCTCTCCTGTGCTGGGCGAGCGTCAGCCGGCTTTCCCCGACCCGTGGGGTTGGTTCAGCCACGCACAGAGATGAGGCACAGAGGAAGTGCTTGCTGTGAGGCTCCTGCAGGCCAGTCGGGGTGCTTCGGCACCCGGTAGCTCCTTGATGAGCGGTAATGGTCTCCAAGCCCTTCCTCTCATGGGTCGTTATAAAAATGTAATTTGTATTTATGGCAGTACTCTTGGCCATTAAGGGCTGTAATTTCTGACCCCTCTCTTTGAGGTATTTGCTCTGTCAAGTTCTACAGCATGGCCTTCTCGGTTCTGACTCAGTCAGGAAGCAACCTACCTGCTGCAGCTAAGTAACCTTTCATTTTGATCAAGAAAATATGTCCACGTAGGTTCCCACCTCTGTGCCTCGGTCCAGGCTGTTCCCACCAACTGGAGGGTCTCCCCGTTGCTCTCCAGCACGCAGGTGGGGACGGAGCATTTCACTCCTCCTTTAAACGTCTCTCCTGACCCTTTTGCCCCCTGACAGACTTGGCGATGTCCTCCTTTGGGCTCCGCCAGTCGTTTCTATCACAAAGGAATGTCCTGGGAAGCAAACCTCCCACAGCCCCAGCCTTAGTTGCAGCAGGAGCTGGGCTGTGCCCACAGAGGATAGGACAGTCAAGGGAAAAAAGACAATTTGGTTTCTAGCATCTTGACGAAATGGCCATTCATTGCTGTAATCAAGGCATGTCTTAACCTGCCAGAGTGGAAATAGGGTGATTCAATGCGGGTTCCATCCCTGGAAACCCATCCAAACCCATGTACTGAAAACCCGCCATTGTGCCAGTGGCTATTCAAAGGTGCTTGTCTGCAGAGCTGAGTGTGGCATGTGCAGTAGGGCCAGGAGCTGTGCACAGCTGGGCACTGCAGAAGGTGGGTGACTGGGATGTCTTCAGAGTCCAGGAGCACGCTTCTAACATTTTGCCCTGAAGTGGATGAGGCTGTGACGAGAATGTGTAGTACTTTTGGTAGGGGCTGAACTGTTGTGAGTGAAACGGGACCGTGCACCTTCCACTTCTAGTTCCAGCCCTGAGAGGACAAGTGCAGACCCTTCTTGCCTCCATTGAGCAGTGTGGTTGGGTGGAAGCTGCTCAAGCCCTGGCACCTTGCACTTGGGGCTGGCCTCTGCCCTTCACAGGTGGGTGGTCATTTTGCTTCTCTGAGCCTCAGTTTCCCCATGTTTAACTTGGAGGTTATACATATCCCCTCCTGTGCAGGGTGGCTGTGAGAACCAGATATGATGGCATTTTCTAGGCACCTACTTTGTGCTGAGTACTGTTCTCATACGTGTTTACATTTCTAGTAAAGGCAAGGTCAGTGTTTCCCATGTGAGGCCACTCTGGGGGCATTTGACTTGAAATCAAACTGTGGAAAGAAAGTGGTTGAGTCTGGCCAGGAACTCAGGCAGGGCCTCATGGAGGAAATGGCTTTTCGAAGTCTTGGAGGAGAGCCTTAAAGGAGCAAATGGGCACTGTCTCAGGCAGAGGAACAGTGCAGGCGAGGCGTGGTGGTGTGTAAGTGCAGGCAGCACAGACGTGGTCCTGTGCTTGGAGGGGTTCTGCCATACCCGACAGAGATGAGGCGGCATGATTCTCAAGATCCTCACAAGCTGGTCACATCCTAAGTCATTCAGGCCACTCTTCTGCTCAAGAACCTTCATGGCTCCCCGGTGCCCATGCAGTAAGTTAATTTTCAGATCCTGCATTCTAACAACCATAGCCTGAGTCTCAGGCTTCCACAGGGGAGCTGTCATGTGAATGTCCCTCCTGGCTCCTCCTTCAATAATAAAACTCAAAAATACTTCCTGGAATCTCACCAAACTTGAATTCTATGGCATCTTCTAGTTTAAGTAGAATTAATTGCTTTTATTCTTTGTTGGACATTAGTTCTAATTTGCATATCAGAATATTCTTGATAAGATACAGTTGGTCTTTCATGGAGGCATTGTGGGGACTTGTCCTGATGATGTCTCCTAACAGCTTTACCAAAGATTAGTGTGAAACCAACAGAAGGAAAATGATCTGCAAGCATGTGGGCTTGCCTGGCACAAAGAACTTGTGTTTCCTGATTGATTTTGTGAACAACAGACTTTGTGACCACCTGTGGCAGGGCCTTCAGGGACTGAACGTGGCTGGGGACTTGTGGGAGCTTGAGGTGCTTGCGCTCAGCACCTGCTTCCATTTCATGTCTCTCCCCTGGAGATGGGGCCCCTTTGTGGGTCTGGCACTGAGGGCAGAGTCCTTGGAGGGTGCCAGCAGAAGACCCAGGGGTGTCTGCTGTCACGGTGAGTGCTGATGGTCCAGGAATGAAGCCTTACTGTCAGTGTGTTCTTTAGACCTCTCGTTTGCTGGTGAGCCCAGGGTATGCACCAGGATTTACGGCTGAGTTTGAGGAGTGGCATCTCCTGGTGAGGAGCTCTGAGAGCAGAACTGCCCACCCAGAGATTACAGTGTGAACTTGATTTTGAGATAAAGCCTCCAGGTGGTGGAGGCTGAGAGGAGGCACAGGATGGGGTAGAGGATGGTGTGCAGGAGAGAAGTCTAACCTAGGGAACGTGGGTCAAACCAGGACTCAAACCTTGTCTTTGTGATGTGCTGTGTGACCTAGGGCAAGTCATTTCACTTCTCTGGGCCTGAGTCTCTTTATATCCAGACTAAAAGGTTTGGCCAAGCTCCCAAAGCCTACCCCTTCCCCCGAGAGACTGCCGCTGACAGGGCATCAGCCTGGTGTGGACTGGCTGGGCTGACATCTACTATATCTGGAAGTATTTCCCCAGACACCTTCTATGGTGACTCTCTCAGTTAGATCCTTTTTAAAAATGACATGTGGATCCTTCATTAACTGACAGCCCTGTGCAATTAGTCTTTGCTTAATTTACTTAATGTCCTTGGTAGGATTTGCTCCCATCCTGACTACTTGAGGTGCCCTGCTCTAAAGAGAGAGAGCCTTAGCCAGTCAGAGCCATGGTGCATCAGTATTTTCAGAGCAGCCTACAGGCCTGGCCTACTGAGATCACCCTTCCTTGTGAGGAGAGGGTTATGGCTTCAGATTGCATTTGCCTTAAAATGCAATTCAAGCCATAGCTCTACCCTGCTGTGTCCTCTGCAGGCTTGTCCTTATTTCAGGGCTTTCTCTGCTTCCTGGGAGGATATGGCCCACCCACCCCCACCCACTCTGCCCAGCATGGGAGCTTGCATCAGGCCAACTCATCTTTGCTCTGCTGAGGCCTAAAGCATGACGGGAGCCCTTAGAACTGTATATAGTGCCGCACTGTGCACATGAAGATGTCACTTCCCTTTGCACACTCAATCTTCACGGTGGGAGGGGGTCGCCAGAGCACTCCCCTGTGGCAAGTGGGGTGACAAAGCTGGAGCTCCAAGCCAGGTGTCCTGACTGCACATTTCAGGGTGCCTATCCTCAAGCTCTCAGGGATGGGTGGGTCCCTCCGATTACCACTAGAAAAGGACACAAGGGCCTGTCGCAGGAGAAGAAGGGAAAGGGGCATCACCTCCAGGTAAATCACATTGGCGGAGTGTTTTGTGCTGGGGAGGACGTGTTTCAGATGGGCGGGCCTTGGGGAGGAGAAAATTCCAGGCCAGCCAGAAGAGTCTTTGCTGAATCTGCCAGTTCCTTCAACTGCTTCAAAAGCCCAGCCCTGTGCTCAGCACCACGGACAGAAGCCTTTGATTGTTATTAATCATGTAGACCTTTGTCCTCAGGCATCTTTTCTCTGCACCCGTGGACTCCAGAGGGCAGACCGAGACCAGCGGTAGTGAGTTCTCTGGCACGAAGGGTGAGCCAGCGCACCCAAGTAGGATGTGACTGCAAGGCATGGGCCTCCCGAAAGCCCACAGCAGCCCCTGCTCGGGACAAAGGGCTTCAGCTGAACCCTCTCCACAGTCTGCACTGTGTGGCCCGGCTGGTCACCTTCCCTGGGAGGTCGGTCTGAGAATGATTTAGAGGAGGACAACGATGTCCAAATGTGTCATCCTGGTGAATGTGCCCATCTCACAGAGCCTTCATTTCTCCATCGGGGAAGGAAGGGTCAGGAAGGGTGAGATTGTTCTAGAAGGATTGGGGGTGGAAACCCCTGTCCTGCAGATGCTGGTGTGATCATCCTCCCAAGATATGGGGATGGGAATGTGCCTCCAAGGGCTGTCTGGGTTTCGCCTGAAACTTCAGGTAGGACACATGGGCTGGCAGGGCATCCGGAGAGGCTGGGCTTGGCTTTCCCATCACCTGCACCTCCCTTGACGTGGTGAGAGTCGGTCACGGCAGGTGAGAGGTGCTTCTGGGAGAACAGAAGGGGGACTTAGGTCTGAAGGGAGGAGAAAAGGAAGCATTCGAGGGGCCGGAGGCTTTTTGTTGGGGAAGTTTTTATTCTTCACATCTTCCCACTCACTTTTGGATCCTGACTGCGGCCTCTGGTTTCTTGGAGACCCCTAGCATCCGGAAAGCAGTGCTTGATTTTGAGGAGGGAGGTCTTGCAAACTTCAGCCGTCTCCTCAGCCTTGAAAGCATAGGCTCTCGGCTCACCTCCCACAGCTCGTCAGGCGTTGCGTGCTGGAGACGTTGAGGGTCCTCCAAAGCACCCAGCCCTGGCTTCCCTTCCTTCCTCATTTGTAATCAGGCCATGTGGCCTTGGCAAGTCACTTCTTACCCTCTTCCACAAAAGACAAAATGAGCAGGTGAGAGCAAGTGTGCCCCAGACAGGTATTAGTGGAGATGAAATCAGTCACTTGGGCTGGCTCCACTTTCCTGGGGACCTGACAGGTTTCAGGTAGAGCTGTTCTGCAGACTTCCTCTCGCTGACGACCACGTCTCCTCTACCCAGCTCCTCTACACCTTCTTCTGATGGGTGCTCCCATCGCATGGGTTCTGCTTTATGTCCCCAGCTCTCAGTTCTCAGTGAACCAGATGCTTGGACAGCATGTGGGTGGTGGTATTTTCCAGTGAGCCAAAGCCCACTTTTCCCCTATGAACCTTGGGGAAGTGCTTACCTTTCCTTAACTTGAGGGGATGTGGCAGCTGCCAGATGTGAGCTGCAGCTGTGCTGGGCCAGATGACTCCACGGGGCCCCTTTCATAC